ACAGTGGGCTTGCTGGGAAAAACGCCCAGAAACTCCTCAAAAACGAATCCATACCAGCCTCAGGCTTAAACAGGTGAAGACTTAATGCATTTTGTCTTGTCGTTGTGTTTTAGTGCTTTTATTAGTTCCTGGAGTGTTGCTAAAGGCAATACAAGGTTAAAGGAAGTCATCATAGAGTCTCATGTACTCCTACCCACCGTATCTTGCAGAGCACACTCAGTCAAAAAAAACCCAACTGGCAGCTGTGTGGAAGATGGTTTTGCTGTAAGAAGCCTCACTTTAGTACCAGAAGTTGGTAGCGTTTTCCTTTGAAGATTGTACGGTGGTGGTACAAGTGTCCGTGAGTTTGTTTGAATAGCTTTTGGGGAGACGCTTGATGATATGGGTAGCTTTCTCTCAGGATATTGCGTATCTATGAGTCTGTAGCCTTCTCGAGCTCTCTGCTTCTGTTTTTAAGCAAAACTAAATGTCTCACCATGGCTCCCTAATGATGCTGTTTTGTGAGCAGAGGCAGCTCTGATGTTTCTGATCTGAGAGGGTCCAAGCCTTGTTCCATGGATAGCCCTGTTGCCTGTGTAGCAGCAAACTTGGTCACCAAAATGTAGACCCTAGCTTCATCCTACCCCAAAGGCAACCCCTTAACCAGTGACGGACTCGCCTGCCCTACAGGCTCTGGGCCATGGTGGCTCAGCAGCTGCTGCAAGAGTGGCGAGGCTGGAACCGGGTCTCAAATACTCCCTTACGAAAGAGGGCTTGTAATAATGGTTCCTGACTCAACTTGCAGCTCACCTGTTCTCATGGTGTTGCACATGTCCCACTTTTGGCTTTCTTATCTTCAAGTGACATTTTTTTCCTTTGGTCACACTTGCCTCCTGGCTCTGGTCTTGTCAAATTGCAATGCCATTCAGCTGCCTTTGCAGGGAAGACTTCTCAGAGTCTCAGATCTGGGGGGGATTCTGGTTAAAAGCCTGAAGATCTGATGGTTTAAGTATGATTATGGTTTTTTTCTTTTTCCCCCCCTTCCTTCCTGTCACCCACCCCACTGCTGAAGGTTAGGATAATCAGGAGAGGAATGTATGCCTACAGGGTTGGAAGAGTGGGTGAAAGACTTCTCGGATTTTAGAACTTGACAATAAAATGTTGCTCAAGCCATCTTACCAATGCAAATATTTACCTAGGCTTTCTCCTGTTAGAGAATCATTTGCTGTTTCACTTCACCTATTTATTCATCCACGTAGAACATTTTCACAGTGGAGTCCCTCTTGTACCTCCAAGTGTGTGCTGAGTAGATTTATAAACAGCCTTATTGATGTATAATTCTGAAATTAGCCTTTGAGTCACTTCCATCTGCTTTTGTTAGTGGAATATGCCACAAAAACTTAGGCATTTGCTTTGATTTTCTGCTTCCCTGTGTGTCTGTTACTGGGCACCATCAGAGACAGGACACTGGGATGAAGGGGCCTTTGCTCCCCATGCAGCAGAACCATCCTCTCCAATCAAAGGTTGTATTGTGATTTTAGCCCAAGATCAGCATCAAGTTACCAAGGCCTATAAATAGCAAACGTATGCTATTTTTGAATATTGGCATAATATTGTTATTTTCAGTCTTCTGCAATTTTATTCATTTTCCAATTTATTAAAATGGAAGGTCGCAGGATTGGAGAACTTGTTAAATGATTATTTTAGGACTGGGCTCAAATTAATATGATGTGCCAACTTGAAATGTTATGCCTAGCAGATGCTGTATAACATTCCTATTAGTTACTAATTGGCTTGAAAGTACTTAATTATCTTCTCCAGATACAGATATTTTTTAAATACTTCTAGCTTTCCTTTTTATACCCATTGCCACCAGTTTTGCCCACTATGTCTCCTAGCAGTCTGCCTACTTAGTTACTCAATCTTCTTTCAGAAATCCTGCTGCCTGTGAACTTTTCACTAGTATGATCTCTTATGAACTTTATTTTTTTAATATCTTATACCCTTGTTGTACTTTGTACATTTTATTTTTCTATTTTCACATTAATACTGAACTAAACTTAGCCATGGAATTGTTTTTGGGCATCTGATACTCCACAGAGTTCCCTGCTTTTACCGGTGCTTTTGTCTGAATGAGAAGGAGGAAAATAATTTCTCTTTCTAATATTGATCAACTTAGTTAATCACCACTGATGCATGCAAAGAGCTATGATGTAATGTATACTATTAAAATATGCAACTGGTTACAACCATCGTGTTTTCTCACGCTGTTTGGCTACCAGCCTAATCTCGTAACAGCCATCAATTTTAGGCCAATGATTGTTTTTAATTTCTTTTTCACAATGAGTTAAGGTAGTGATCTTGCATTAAATTCAGGACTTTTGCGTTGGAAGATTTTAACCTGAGCTATTGAGACACAGACAAAATTGAGTGTTGATAGGCCAAACCAAGTCACCATAGAAAATAAAATCTTAAGTTGTATGTGCAAACTCTTTTTCTCTACTGGAGTCTTCCTGGGGTCTTGTTCCCATTTATTTTCCCTGCTGGGTGGGTTTTTAAATGCCACTGCAATTAACTCTCTGAGAATTATTTTCCTTTCTATTTTTATTCTGACTTTTCTCGTTCTATAGCGGTATTTCTCCTTTTCTTCCTGGTACTGTGCTCCCCCTTCTAGTTCCTGAATTTATCCCTTTTTCCTTTAGGGTAAGAGAGTAAATTTTTGTTTCTGTTTTGAAAACGCCAGGGAAATCTGGAAGCTATTGTTTTCATACCACAGTGGTGATGTCGGCTGTAAGGCAAAGCGTTGGGCCCTGAAGGGGAAGGGAAGGCAGGGAGTCAGAGCAAGTGCTCTGACCTAAGTAATCTGATGCAACGGGGATTTGAAATCGTGACATGAAGTGATCCCTTTGAAGAGACGTGTCTCACTGTGCCCCTACTCCTGCTTCCCCTGGTGTACAGTAGCTCTCAATTTGTAGCGGTTGCATTGTCTGGGTAGAAATCTCATGATTTGTCATTTGTGACTTTTAGCTCATAAAGAATAGGTATTTCATCAGCCAAAGTTAACCTGCACTTTCTTTGATCTTGAAATAAGAAATTTGCATTAATTTTAATTTTTCTCTGGCCAGCTTCGTAAAGTTCAATTCAAAATCTAAAGTCAAAGCTCAATTTATTGTGGCTGCTGTTAAATTCGGAGCATACTAATACATTCTTATCATTGCAATTCTTTGGTGGAGTGATAGTATCTAATAACACGCTATGGTACAACTGGGAGATGAAGATGTGCTGAGAAGCAGATGTAGGAGTCCAGAAACTCCCAAATGGTGTCTTTTGGCATAGCAGAACTGGAGAAGAGAAGAACTGACTTGTATCGCCCTGGCATGCATATTGCATAAAAAAATAAACTACTGTCTTAATACATGCAAAAACCTACCTATCCCCTCATACAAGTATATTTTTAGGTAAGTATTATGTCTGTATTCTCCTCCAGGAAGGCTTTTGCATCCTGCCCTTCTCCCTCCACACAAGTTAGTATCAGTGGTGCTGGCCCAATCCCTTGGTTTCTAAACCCAGATCCTCATTGTTGTTACATCCAGTCCTGGTTTATTTTGGGATGTTACCCAGTTTCCTTAAGGAAAGGTGGGATTCTCTCAGTCATTCTCTTAAGATGTGCTTCACCAGAGTAAGTTTTGGGACATCCTATTTTGGCATAATTGCTTCCTACTTGCTAGGAAAAGGAGCGGTAAAAATATGGAAATTCTGACTCTTAATAATTTCAAAGCTACAAATGGTTTAGAAGGAGTTTTAGAGGCCAAATTGATGAATTCTGGTAAATCCTGAGATGGTGTGATCACATAGCTTACAGCCCGGGTTTTTCTTCAGACCTAGACCTTAATTCCTGGATATGCTCATCCCTCCACTCCTTCCCTCGTATTTCAAAGATACAAAAATAAGGCAAAACTTGTGCTCTTCCCCTCTGCAGATCCAAGTTAATCGCAGCCGCTCTTGCGTGTGTTCACCAGGACATTGCCATCTATTTGGGCGTCCAAAATGACGCCCTGCGCCCTTGCATCTGGTGCACACATCTGGTGTGCAATGAATATAATTGGCATGAGATTGAAAAGGAAATTAAAATAGCTGGTAGGCTGTGATACGTGGATGTTGTACCCACCGTTCGTTACGTGGCCGCAAGCATGAAACTGCGCGTGCTCTGATTTTTGGTTCTGAGTGTTTCTGACATTGTGAGCTTGTCTGTGCGTTGTTGGGAATGTTTGGTGAGAGCTGAACGCGTGATTTTGTTAGTGCTCCTATTTTTATTTTGTTGGTGCTTTTGCATCACTAATCAAATACAAGCATCCTATTGTTCTCTCTGCAGCTTCCTTCCAGTACATGCTTATATTTAGTTATTTTAATAATAATAATACCCAGGGCTTGTAATCCTGAAAGAAGCCAGAGAGATGGTAAACTCCTTTTCTGATTACTAAATACATCTGATTCATATAACAGATGGCTGTTATTTGATACGCTGTTGTTATCCACGCTGTACGGAGGGGCAGAAACTCGCCGGAGCGATGACTTGAAGGCATTAGAGGATGTCCTCACTCGGTCCTCTCCGCGGAATGGCAGCAGTGATGCCATTTTATCCAACAGCTTCACTTCAGTTACGAACAAATTGTTTTCAGTGTCCTCTTCCCCCCCCTCGCACACGTAGTACGGAGGCGTGCAGCCCTCCCAGCTGCCGGAGGAGCCCCACGGACCGGCCTTTTGGGGTGGCTCGACGGTGGGCTCGGGCTCTTCAGTGCCCAGATTTTTGCTGGCAGAAGGCGTCCGGCGGTGCCTGCGCGGATTGGCTGCCCCCCTGCTCCCCTCTCCCTCTCGCCAGCGTCGCCGAATCTCGAAACAGCCCGATTTACATCCATTCATGAATCCGTGACGTCAGCACGCTTCTGTGCTTCTTTGCAGCAGGCTGCAGGATTGTGTGGGTGGAATTTCCTTTTATTTTGCAACACTTCCTTCTTTTTTTTTTTTTTTTTGCCTTCCATCTTTTTAAAACAAGAAAATGGAGCATCACATAAGAAATCTTAATCCTTGTAAGTATTTAAATGAAAATGTCTTTTTTTTTTTTCGGAAGCGTGTGTGTTTGTGTGTGTGTTTAATGGTCAGCGTTACCCTTTCGCCATTTATTTCAGAAGGACAGATGGATGTTGCATTTGTGATGTGAAAGGGCTGAAAAAATGATGCTGAGAGAAGGGAAGAGGAAACATGAAACCTTAATTTATCCATCACAGCATATAAATCTGATAGCTGGCCTGTCCTTTTGCTTGTCGGTGTGCTAGACATTTTTCAGTTGCAATTTTGCACGTTATCTTCTTGTGCCCCCCTTTTAAAGGGGAAGGGAATGGCAATGGAGAATAGATATATATGGAATACACAGGGAATGATATAAGAATTACTAGAGGTAGTATAAAGAAGCAGATTTGGGTTTTTTTGCCTTCTAGGGAGTTGTAATTTTTTTTCCTTGTGGGCTAATCAAACAATTCTTCTGTTGTCTTACAATAACAAATAATTTTATTTTTGAGATGAAGAAGAGATGTGGTTTTCTTTCTATCAGCCGGATAGGAATTTGTTCCTTTATTATTGAAAATAGCAGTTTGAGCTGTCTCTGTTGTGCCAAATGCATGATTCTTACCCCTCGTTTTCCTAATAGATGAGGAAGCTGGGAGTACCATTGCAGTTAACGATACTGTTCACTTGGGCAAGATTTGTCATATTCTTGCTTACCTGAATGGGGCATGATGTCATGTTTTCTCCCAATGAAATGAGTGGAGCTGTTCTTTATTTTTGTTTTGGGGGGAGGTGGTTTAGGTACTGCAATAGCTTAATCATATCAAGCCACATGTCTCCAAAGTAAATGAAAAATTGGGTATTTTAAGTTGATCTGGAGAAAGATGACATCAGGCCTGTGTGTTTGGATATACTGATTTTATCAATAGGCTGTCTGCTCAATAAAGAAACTGAAGGAATGTATTTTGCTCGGTAATTTTGAGGGAGAAAAAATGAAAATATTTGAAATAAAAATGAAACGGATGAGTGACATGAGAGAGATTCAGCCGGTCTGACTCACAAATGTGGACACTTGTCACAGTAACTGCTGTCTGTGGAGCCCAGATATTTTGGCATATCCAAGAATCCTGGAGGTTAAAGTTGTCATTGGTTTCAAAGTTTTTGTTACCATCCTTTTTGTTGTGTCCCCCAATGTATGTGGGTTTTTGTTTTGAGAGAGAGACAACCCTTTGAACCTCTGTTTCTGTAACAGACTTTGGCTGTAAAAAAACCAAATAAATCATGATTTTGATGTCTGGAGTTTGTTTGTTTGTTTTGCTTTAACATGAGTTTTGTTTCCTGTATTGTGGCCCGCCAGTCTGGTTCTTTGATCTAGAACGGTCCTGTCGTTCAGATCTGTCTTTGTCCCCTGCTGCCTGATAGTTAAATTTATAGCTGGCATTCATTTTGACCCCTGTGCCTGGAATTAGCAAATAACTTCTGGCACAAAATATATGGTAGGGACTCTTACTGCTTCTCAGCTATACCTGAACTTGTGTTTGAAAATGTGTGGGTGGTGGGGTTTGTTTTTTTTTTTTTATTTTTCTGGTTGCATTACTAACCTTCCTCTTTTGTCCCCTGTTGTAAAGAGTTGGTAAGTGGCTTATCTCCAGTGGATCAGAAAATTGAGTAATGATTTATTTGAAAATCTCTTCATAGGTAAGCAGTTTCACAATTAGTAGTTATTAAAATACGGTTCTACTCTAAGCAGTGGCAGCATAAGAAAGGTTTTACAGTATTTCCTGTTTTCTTATGACTTTTTTTACAGCAAATGTGAGATGGTGCCTGATTAGACTGGAGTTGTTCATATCTGGTACCTGCTCCAGGCTTTCTGCAGTTGAGATGTGTGGAGTGGATTTCAAAAAGTAGGACTTCTCAAAATGGCAGTCTTTAAATAAAGCTTTCATAGGTAAAAATAAGAGCAGTATCACATTGGTCATATGAACAGATTTGAAATCAGTGCAGGTTCCTCTTCAGCTCTGGTCCTTGGGCCAGGCTAGGCAGGGGAAGGTGCCTGAACCTTGCTGTGCGTAGAGCATTTTAGCCAAGCTCTCACCTGAGATCCTCTGTTTGGAGGAAAACAGCAGCAGACTTAACTGCTTTTACAACTTCCACTGAGTTTCTCAGCTGTAGCTGAATCAAAATGAGCCAACTGAGGCAAAGAGTACCTCTGCATCTCAGGGGTTTGGCACTTCAGCAAGCCCTGGCTAGCTTATGGGACGGTTGTTTGGGTTTTGTTTTGGTTTTTTTTTTTTCCCCTCCTTGGCAAATAAATCCTGTGCATGGACTTTAGTCTTTTGTAGGCTGCTGGTTTTGTGACATTACAGCAAACCACTCTTGCTTTTTGGGGAGGAGGAGTAAATATTTCACCTAAAACACATACTACTTTGGATCGAATAGCAAGTTGGCAGCTGCAGCAGAAATACCGAGGTGGGCTGGAGCAGAAACACTGTGTGCACTTACTCCCACCCCTATAAATACTCAACATGTATTTTGACCTCTGTCCTCTTT